CAGTGACTATGCAGAGTTAACACGTTAAAATGTTTTTTCCAAGCATTGATGGGAATCGCATGTGTGAACCTTAATAAAGAAACCATCAAAGTGGACAAAACCCACATTTAGCTAAGCATACAGTGAAGACAGCAGGCCTAATTTTAAAACAATAAAAATCAAATTTCTCCAACAAAAAAGGCTGATGATCACACAAACCACGAACAGAGAAGGGGAGGAGGGAACATGCATATTGAGTGAGGGTTCCTCTGGAACAAATACAGACCATATGGAGATGTATATCTCTCCAAAACCTGCATACAGGTTAATAGCAGCCTTATTCATAATTGCCAATTAATTCCAATTCATAATTAGAACAAACAACCAAGATGTCCCTCATCCCGTGAATGGACAAATAAACCATGGTACTTCCAGACAATGGATATTCCTTTAGAAAATGAGTCTTTTTTTTTTTTTTTTTTTAATTACACCTGTCCTGGGAAAAGCTCCTGCCTCCAGCACTCCCTTCCTCTCTTCGTGTGGTGGTCACCCCACTGACAGGCAGAGCTGGATTAAAGGTTATCTGATGAGAGCAAAGGGACCACATATCCCTGGGTCAAGAATTTAAATACGGAAAACCCACAGATATTAATTCATTTATTGCAAAAATGCAGGACACACTTAGTGAGCAAGTAAGCATTCTACGTGCTCAGAACCCGGAGGTTTTGCTGCTCTATCATACTTTCCGTGTGTGGTTCCGTTACAGACAAAGACTTTCCATTGTGACTTATAGTGGAAGTTAAAGATGCCATCTAAGTCCCAAGTGGAATATTTTTGCTTTCTGTGTGATCTCCCTGATCTCTAGGTGATGGAAGCTATGACCTTTTACTGTGCTCTACCTGCCTATAATTGCTCAGTCTTGTCACAGAAGGGCAGCATGCTAATACATCCATCTACTTTTCCAATAGGTGGCGCCCTCCCTGCTCCATCCGCACAATCTTTCCATTGCCAGCCTGCCTGCAAACTCTTACCCAATTAATTTCTCTGGCAAATGAAATAGCTGAAAGCCATGTCTTTTTGAAGTTTGGGGGTAACCTTAGGGTGTTTGTAAGAGAGAGATAAAAAGCTGACCCCTTTTCTTTTGTGTCAAAATTTAGTGTATACTCTAATCTTGCCCTTATTTTTTTATACATGAATTTAGTAGGAAGACTGGATTCTGTTCATAACATTGCAAATATTTTCAGAACACTAAAACTGCTAAACTTTGTCTCCTTCTTAAAGTTGTTTTATTTGAACTTACACCAACCGTTTCTCTGAAGGGCATGGTGGTGTGATGGCTGATAGTGCTAGAATTAGACTTCCCAGGGTGAAAATCCCATCTTTCCCAAACTAAGAATTTTGAAATTTGGGGAAAATTGTTCAAGAGACAATTTTTCTCATCTATAAAATAGGGCTGATGATTAAATAGATTAACATGAATAAATGGATTAATATGAATAAAGCATTGAGCACAGTACCTGGCATATAATAAGATAATAAATGTTATTATAAATAACATTAATAATAACAATAAATGTTAGCTATCATTTGTTAGCTATCAAATGTTAGCTATCATCAGCAAATATTTAATATTGGTTTTATATGTATATTTACATCCTGTCCTTTGCACCCAACTTCAAGATCCTCAAGGGAGGGGATCATATCTCTTCCATCAGACTGGCTTACTCCCAGACTGTCTTCTCTATTCTCCCGGACACCTTGCCCAGGATTCTGCAATCGACATGAAAAGCTGGGAACATGTCCTTTCGTTCCAACGAAATACCTGTCAAAATTCCTCTACCTCCTGACTTAGTTTTCTAGCCCTGAAGTCCTACAGCTCCCACTTTCCACGATTAAAGATTCACTATCTGTCCCAGAATCTGATTTCATTATATTTAAAACTCTGATATGATTCTTGGGATAGTTTGCTTTATTCAGTTGATGCGGAGGAAGGGGGGGGGAAACCATTGAATCATGGTCTGTGACAGTACCAGGAACCCAGAGCATGTCTGTTTCCTGCCTGGCTCCTATATGTATCTAGGTTGTGCATTTCACTAATTCTGCCCTTTTACTGATGAGTAATAACTGCTCAGGGTGGTCAAATTAGGCCCAAGTTTGCCTAACTGAAAGTGAGGAAGCTAGGACTGGAGCTCTGGTCTATTTCATTCCAAAGTCCACGCACTTCATGCTCCATCAACCTTCCCAGAGGAGATTTATATATTTTTAAAAAATATTTTATTTATTTATTTATTTGTCAGAGAGAGAGCGCGCGCACAAGCAGCAGGCAGAGAGAGAAGCAGGCTCCCCGCTAAGCAAGGAACCCGATGTGGAGTTCCTGGGACTCCATCCCAGGGCCCTGGGATCATGACCTGAGCCAAGGCAGATGCTTAACAGACTGAGCCCCCCAGGCGTCCCCACAGAGGAGGTTTATACAGACTACGAATATCATTCAGAGCAGAGGCTCATGGAGAGAGGTATCGTAAGAAGTCCCGCGTTTAGGAGTCTGGTAGCTAGAGCCCTTGCAGAGGGTCCAGCTGCCCGCATACCACTTCAGGTCCCTTCTCTGGACCTCAAATAGCTCATACGTAAAATGAGGAGGACCTGGCCTCCTTTGCAAGGTTATTTAGAAGATCCGAAGAGATGTTTGGGAGCCCCTTGGTCCTCGACCTCTCTAAGGGATTGCTAGCCCTGCAGCAAGGAAGAGGGCTGGCAAATTTGAGCTACTGCTAAAGGAAGGTCAAGAAGGACTAATTGGAACCAGACCTGAGAACTTGTACTATTGGGGTCAAAGCATGAAGAAGGGTTGGCTGAGCTTGGGTCGTCCCAGTTGAAGGGTAAGATGTGCACGGTTCGAAGGCACTAGAGGAAAATCTGAAATGCTTTTTATTTCTAAGTACTTGAGATTCTAGCGCGGGTTGGTTGGATCTCTCACTGCTCGGCTTCTACCCAGCACCTTCCTGTGCCTCCGCCCTTCCCCCCGGCCTGCGCCCCTCGCTCTGACCGCCCGCGGGCCCCGCCCCAGGCCCCTCCCGTCCCGGGTCCCGGGCCCGCCCTCCTCCTTCCCCCGGCCGGGCTCCGCGCGCAGGGCTCTGGGGCTGAGAGCCGCGCCCCCGCCTCGCCGCCCGCCGCTGCCCAGGATAGCCGCGCGCCTGCTGACCGGCGCCCGCGGACTCCCCGCGCGGAGCCACACGTGAGTCCCGGCAGGTCGCCGTCCCGGCGGTGGCAGCGGCGACGAGCCCCGCGGCTGTAGGGCTGGAGTGAGGGGGCCGAGGAGCGCCTGTCGGCTCGTCCGGTTTGCTTTGAAACCGAAAGCGCCGCAGCGGCACGAGCCCCGCAGCCTTCTCCCCGCGCCCGACGCCGGGCTGCTGGGGTCCTGGGCCCGGACACCCGCCCCTGCCGTCCCGCTCGCGTTCAGCGAGTCCCGCGACCGGCGCTCAGACTCGCGCGGGGAGGGCGCGGGTGGTGGGCGCGAGGCGGACGGGCCGGAGCAGCCTGCGGGGCAAGTGGCCGCCGCCGCGGGCGAGGGGGTGCGGAGGCGGGTGTGGGAGACAGCTGGGCTCGGCGGCTCGGAGCGGGTTTTCTTAGCAGGGGAAGGCTGTGGTGTGGACGCAACTGGGGGCCCCGAGCTGGGGAGCTGCTCCAGAGCGCGGCTGTGGATTGGAGGGACCGGGTTCAGGTAGGGGGACGCAGGGCGGGTTTCAGGTGAGCCCGGTGCGCACGCTCTGCAAATCCCGGGCGCTCCCTGAATGCCCTTGGGCACCCCCTCCACCTCTGCAGGGCCTCTCCGACCCGAGCCCCCCGGAATGGAACCGGAATATGGGAAACCTCCGCAAACTGTTCGGTTGGGCGTGCTCAGTTAGAAACACAGCACAGCACGAGACGAACCCGACACTGCACACGCAGACCCTCAGCTGATCTCGGAGGGGTCTTGGAGGAAACCAAGGTTCGGGGAGGTGAAGTGCGTTGCCCAGGGACACCCAGAGAATTGGTGGAATCTGGGTTTTCCAGACCAGATTGCCTCCCCCTTGGTCCTGCCCTGCAGGGTTTTGGCAGTTGTGAGACTTTTCAGTGAATCCTGGGGCCACAGTCTTGTGGTTCACCCTGCTGCTCCGCTCTGCCGCTGCCTACTTTCTCGGCGGGTTCTGCCCCCTCCTGCAGAGTTTCCATATTTGGCTATTTCAGATTTACTTTCTCCTAACTCAAGTTATCTCGCTGTGGCTACAGGGCGGCTCCGGGCGAGCGCTGATGTAGGTGGAGGGAGGCGTGGCTCCCCGCCCAGGCGGTCCCTGCAGCCCCACGCTTTTCAGCCCCTGGCTCTGACCCGTCTTCTGTGAGGACAGGGATCTAGTAACCAATTTAATTCAGTAAATATTTATTGGGCACAGGTGCTGTGTGGCTGGGGCCCGTGGAATACGGTTTCTTCCTCCAGGGGCGTTTGCATTTGAAAAGGGCTCTGGGGGGCGCCTGGGTGGCTCAGTGGGTTAAAGCCTCTGCCTTCGGCTCAGGTCATGATCCCAGGGTCCTGGGATCGAGCCCCGCATCGGGCTCTCTGCTCAGCAGAGAGTCTGCTTCCTCCTATCTCTCTCTGCCTGCTTCTCTGCCTACTTGTGATCTCTGTCAAATAAATAAATAAAATCTTAAAAAAAAAAAAAAAGAAAAGGGCTCTGGAAGACAAGATGCAAACACAGTGAAGAGTAGAACATGCTGGTCGGTGCCTGTGAGGGAGTTTTAGGCCGGGAAAGGCCAGGTCGGACCTCCCAGATCCGGAGTGCTGCGGGCCGCTGTGCCCTTCTCACTTGGCGGATGGGAGGGTGTTCGCGCTGTGGCTGGTTTGGGTGAAAACCACACCTGCACTCTCCTCCCCCAGTTCTCCAGTTTGCGCAGGACAGACATTGCCCGGGGAAAGATGGATGTGACAGGCAAGCAGAAAGTAGCCAGCCCCTGTAGACTCTTTCTTGGTTTTGTTGTTGTTTTGTTTTAAACTCTGCGGAATGGGTTGGCCCTCGTCCTCATCCTGGAACCTCCCTCCCCTGGTCCTAGACAGAAGCAGAAGAAAGTCTCCTATCTGAGCCAGCCTCTGGATGTCCTGCTGGAGGGGTGGTGATAGAGGAGGTGATTTTCTCAAGTCCTCTGGGCTGAGGGCTGAGGCCTGAGGCAAGGGGAGTAGGATGGACAGTGTGTCCATCTGTCAGCAAGCCATCCCCTGAGTCCCCATTGGCCATGGGTGGCAGGGCAGTGGAAGAAGAGGGAAAGGAGAGGAGGCCCCATCCACTGAAAGTACCAAGTGCAGTAAGTGGGCTGTTTCAGTGGGGGTGGGGGGTGATGTGCAGAGCGAGGGAGCTGGGTGCCTCTGAGTCAGCCCAGTCAGGCTAGCTGTGGGAAAGGCTTGTCGGCGTTTAGACAAGCAGACCTTCTGTGATTTTCTCAGCTTCACTGCGGAGGACCCTGAAGAAAAGTAAGTCCCTGTTTATGAAACTCTGCTTTTTTAAAGCATTTTCTCATCGCTCTTCTCATTTGTCCTCCATGGTATCCTAGTGAGTCAGGCCAAAGCAGGATTATTGTCTACATCTCCCAGATGGTGAGGATAAAGCATGGTGTGTAGTAGCCCTTGAGGCTCCCGTGCTGGGCCTGGTGTCTGGCTCCAGGCCCCCACCCCGGTTTTCAGAGAGCGAAACCTGCCTGCCTCCTCCTCGGCCAGACTTTGTTGATGCACGTCTGGTCTGTTCCCACCGACGTGGAGCAGGTTCTGGAGACTTTGCCCTGGCCAGCGTGTGAACAGAGGCCCGCTCTGCCCACCTGAGTGAACTGGGGGCAAGACCTGTGTCTCTTCTTGTTTGTATTCTGGAGTCTGGCGTACAAGAGACCTAAACAGATGTCTGCGTCCAATGCATCTGAGATGTGTCTCCCTTGGGCTCAGAGCTGGTAGGGGCTGATGGCTGGGGAGCAGGTGCTGGGTGGGGCCCTAGAGAGGATGAGCTGCCCGTGGCACTCGCTTAGATCCCAGAAATCCGAAGAGCCCTGGGCCATTTGAAAATAGCCTCTCTTACCTGGTTAACCTCTCCCTGCTTCCCTGAGAGAAGGGAGAGGCTGGGGCTGTTCCTTCCACTTAGCTGGCTGCAAGCTGGGGCTCAGAAGGGACCGGAACGATCTCACAGAATGTAGGCACCAGCCAGGACCCAGCCCAAGTCCTTGGACTCTAAGTCCTGTGCTCTTCGGTTATTTCAGCTAGGGGAGGTCAGGATTCTGGATGGGAGGAGCGGGAGGGAACCTGAAAGGCATTCATGAAAGGGGACCTGATGCCTTCGTCCCTGTACCGCAGTCTTTAAGATCTAATAGACCAAGGGAAGGGGAAGCAGTGACAGAGGCTGTCTCTTAAGAGCTTTTTCTGCCCAGATGGTGGCTTTTACTGAGGGCTCCCGGGGCAGGAGTCATCATCGCAGCCAAGCTGTGTGGGTATCTGCATGTGTGTGTGTGTGTTGGGGGAGAGAACATGTCCCAGGGGCAAAAGTGATCCCCAGGGTGGGAGGCTTCCTGCCCTGGCTGAGGCCAGGGTTAGGCCCCACGGAGTTTGTTGCTTTGCCCCGAGGAAAGCTTTATTTGGAGGGTCAGACAGCCCTGGGCCCCCGGCAGGCCCTGTCTTGTGAGGAAGTGGACTCGAGGACCAGAGAGGAAATAAAAGTGAAAATACTCATTAGTCCCGACAGAGCAATTCAAAATCCATTTGCAGGGACAGCGATGAGTCTGCCCATTGTTATCAGGAGGCAGGTGGGGGTGCGTGCCAGGATAGGGCAGTAGCAAGAGGGGGGCTATCGGTGTGTACCTGCAGGGTCTGTGGGGGGCCCTCCCTGCTCACACCCCTCCCAGGGGGTGTGAGCAGGGAAGGGGGACCCGTCTCACTTTCAGCAGTTCCCCACGCCTCATGGCTGGACCCGTGCTCCACAGCTTCTCTGCTCACCAGTTCAGAACATCCCTGGGATTTCCCCCATGGCCTGTTTTCTCTCAAGGAAAAGGTACTCTCCTGACCCACGGGAGAACACCTTCTCCACCTACACCGCTGATTCAGCCCTCTCCTCCCTCTCCTCCCTCTGCCAGGTTCCCTCCCTTGTTCCCTGACCACTCACTCCTTCCTCTGCCCCACTAGCTTAGCCTCTGTTAAACAGGAAAACCCCATGTTTCTGCACCCCCTATTCTTTCCCTTTCATGGAGAAGCTTCTGGAAAGGGCAGACAGCCTTTGCACTTAGGCTGTATTCCTCCCTCAGCGCCGTGCACCTGCCCTGCCGCTCAGATTGTCCGAGGGGTTCTGGGGCTGGTAATCCTCAGTTGCCAGCCTGCTCTGCAGCTGTTGCCCATCTCCTCGGAGGGGCCCCCCGTCCCCACGGATGCCTCCGTCCTTCACCCTGAGCTTCTCATCTTCCTTCGGCCCTGCAGATGCTGGTATGAGGCCCCGGCTGTGCCCTCCGGCCAACCTCTATCCCCTGCGCTCCTCTCCCTAGAGCCCTCCTGGCCTCCCAGGGCTTAAACCAACACCCTTAAGGAAAGGTTTCTGTCTCTCCCCCAGCTGTTTTCCTGGCGGTTTGATTTGTGACACACAAAATCTTCACCATGATGTTTCGGGAGCCCTTCTTCCACTTGCTGCGTAGTGGAAATAGTGTGGACTTTCAAAAGCTGGGAGCTCTGAGTTCAAATCTGCATTTATGGCTTGCTGGTTGTAGTTGTGTGATCTGGGCAAGTTGGCCAACTTCCAGGAGCCTCTGTGTTTCAGAGAGACTGTAGGGTCACTCACTTGAGGTCGGTGAAAGGATTAAATGAGCCAGTACGTACACAGAGCCTGGTGTCTGGTTGGGTACTCAGTAAAGCTGGTTTTCTTCTTCCATGTGTGGGATAGCAGTAGGGAGTTGTGGGGTCTCTGGGGAGGTGCACAATGTGTGTCTAGCCTAAAGGCATTCCAATTTAAATTAAAAACAGACAAAGAAAAGAACTGCCAAGTGCCAGGGCAGACCGTCATTTAAACTAGCCTGGTGCTGTCACTTTGCGAGCTCTACACCCGGCAGACCTCAGTCTCCAGGGGCAGGTGAGGCAGGGCACAGTGGAGAGAAGCTAGGACAAGCCCTTGGCAGGCAGAGAGCAGAGAGGAGGGCAGGTAGCAGGAGATAATGGAGACCCGGCCCCAGGGAGTAAGTTTCAGGGGCAGGATTCCAGTCTTTAGACTAATCTGTGGGCAGAGCAGCTGCCACCTCGGAGGGAAAATAGTGCTGGATAGGGAGGTGAATCAGGGACCCAGCAGACGACATAGAATGGACTTGGAAAGCAAAAATAGATCCACTGGCTTGATTACCAGGAGTAGAGCTGTTCCTTCAGTGGGGTCTAGCTATTCAATCAGAGCGGAGTGTGGAGTGAAGTTGACGGGCTGCTAGCTGTCAGTTTGAGCCTGTCCCGACCCCCCCAACTGGGAGCGGGTTGGAACAGTCAATCTGTGTGCTGAGCCTTCCTTTAGAGGAACCCTTGATGCCAAGGTAAAGCCAAACACTCATGAAAGTGCCGCTTCTGCCTTCCTGACATGAAGATTCTGAGGAAGAGGCCAGACAGACACCTGTGATGCACCCTAGGGGACAGACACCTGTGATGCGCGCTAAGGGAACTCACCATGCTTCCCTGGGTTCCAGGCAAATAAGTTAACAAAGAGGGAAGGCTTCAGTGTTACGGAAAGTCGCAGAATCAAAGAAGTGATTCAACAACTGGGTGGGTTTATGCCGGGAAGCCCTCCGAAGGCGTGAGGAGAAGTGGGCAGGAAGGACGGGAGCGGATATTGGACTGTGGGCAAAGGCATTTCAAATGGGAATAAGGGAAGGAGGGAACAGTTGCCCTTCGTGGATGGGAAATAGATTATTCTGGAGCAGACTGACTTCCTCATATTGAGGTTTTATTTGAAAAGCCGATAATTTGGGATGTTGCTCCAACGGCTCAGTGGCACTTCTGGAGATCTTATTGAGAATGTCTGACCCCGTGGATATTAGCTGTGGACAGCCAGATGCTAAATTCTTTCGATCCTTCCTTGACAGTAATTCCAGATATGTGACTTCAAGCGTTCACTTCCCTGATGCCGGATCCTTCCAACAAGCATGACTTCTCTAGGGCCCATGTCTTCTGCTGTGCAGCCGAAATGCTTGGTCCTCTCAATGGCAGTTCTGCTTGGCTTTGTTAAAGGGCTATAGAGTCTTTTCGATCTGATGTATCTGTTCCTCTCTTCACATCCTTTCTTCTGCCTAGAGTACCTTCTGTTTTTAATCTACTAATTCATACCCTTTACCCTTTTCAAAGAAAACTCAAATACATCTCTTGTTGGGAATGCTTCCCCAAGACCACACCCAGGTTCTGCGATATTCTCTGAGGACTCACAGGAGTCAGCATATGGTCATACAGCTACGATTCATTACAGTGGAAGGATGTAAAGCAAAATTGGCAAAGGAAAAAAGTGCATGGGGAGAAGTCTGGAGGAAGCCGGGCGCAAGCTCCAAGAGTCCCTCCCACCAGCGACATCATACAGGATCCCGTAGACTTGTGACCATGCGTCAGATGTTGTCTACAAGAGAGGCTCATCAGACGCCCAGTGCCCAGGGTTTTTACTGAGGTCTGGTCATGTAGGCATCCCCTGCCTAACTTACACCAAAATTCCAGACTTCCAGAAGAAAAACAGGTGGTCAGCAACAACCACATTGTTTGCAAAAACAGTTTGGGCACAGTGCACCACCCGAATCAGTTAGGAGAACCTGCCACAAATCTGCCTTCCAAGATGTTAACCAGGGGCCATCCTTAGAAGCAGAACTTTCTACGGATGGCAGTCTCAAGCCTGCTATGTTACCTCTTTTCTGCACGGCTTCCCTGCATGATTCCACGCATCCATGCCTAGCAGTGGAGAAAATCACTCTAGATACAAGCCAAGAGACTAAGGACCGGCCCAGCATGGCCACCTACCACTGGTGACCCTTTGAATCCCTAGACTCCATTTTTTCTCCTCATTCGGAAGAGGGAAATTGTAATTCTTCTTTGTAGGCCTCAAAGGTGACTGTGAGGACCGAAGAGATGACATAATGGGTACTCCTCTTGTCCCTCTTGGTTGAGCTCCTACCGTGTGTCAGCCTCTGAGTAGGCCTGTGGGAGCACAGAGCGAAGCGTGGTGTTGTGGCTTTGAGAGGAGACCAGCCCGAGATTAAGCCAGCACTTACCACCCGTGTTACCTTGCACCCGTTTCTATAATCCTAATTGGTAGAATAATAAGTGAATAAATAATAAATAATAAGTGAATAAATAGTGAATAATAAGACTATTGCCCACACCTCACTGGGTTGCTGTGCAAAGTGGGAACAACCCACGTAAGCTTCTCGCACATTGTAGGCACCCAAAGTGGCAGCTCTCCATTCACCCAGATATCTGAGTGCTTGCTGTGGGCCAGCGCC